ATCTGCTTTGTCCACTCAGTGAACAAAAGCTTTTCAGTGGAAACGTTACTTTGCTGAACAAGCCACAGACGACTACGGTGTGGGACTGTCTCTTGGGAAAAACATGTTCTTCCTCCTCCGCAGTCCAAAGACCTTCAAGGTTAAGGTCCTACATCTGTTGTTTTTTTTCCCCCTTCTTCTCCTTCTCTTCTATAGTTTCTCCTCTTTCTTCTTCTCCCACTCACTGGAGTCTTTGTCTGTCTGACGGAAGCTTTTTTGCAGATTTGCTACATCTGTGAATACATCGCTATACATGTCATTGTACGCCAGACAAAGTGTGTGATGTGGGTATTTGAATGCTATGCATCGATTGTTCACACAGCATTTGTGCTCATGGACTGTACACGCTGTTCATTGTCGAAGTTTGTCGCCCTGCTCTTAACTGCTTTTTCATTTAACTTTTTCCAGACCAACTATTTTTCTAATTTATGTTTTCAGGCATGACAATACAGACGTCTCTCTAAACCAGAATGTGTCAGAACATCTTTATTCCCCGTACAAGGACACATCAAAGCACTCAACATGCAATGAACACAGACAATCACATAAACTCAACATTTTTATGTCTCATTGTGTTCACTCACCTTCTCCAATGTCTGACACACACACACACACACACACACACACACACACACACACACACACACACACACATTGATCCATCACCGCCTTGTTTGTTCGCGCTGCTGCTGCTGCTGCTGGAGGTTCACCTCTGCTCTGGCTGACGCATGCCCACAACCTCGCTCCTCCTCTCCAGCGGTCCCCATGGTAACGCACAGGGTAGAGCAGCTTAGCAACACGGAGACAGAGAGGCAGCATCCCTGGTCCAGACCGCGCGACAGCAGCGAGAGGACAACAGCAGCGCGCCAGGCAAACATCTGAATCTGCTGTGCGTAAGTGTCACATTTTACCCCAAACTACAGCTGTGGTGGTTTTTACAGGAGGTCAGACTGAGACGTGGTTCACCGTCTGACTAAGGAGAGGTCGAGGTTTTGTTCTGCAGTCTTCCTCCATGCTTCCGTGCGGAGTGATGCTGCTCTCTGTTCTAGACTCCGAGGCGAAGACATCTTTCATGTCTGTGCGCGGCAGCCTTTTCTGAACCGTAATCTTTTCCCGTCTGTCTTCACAGTCATCATGAAGTTCGTGGTGGTTCTAGTGGGAGCGGGCACTCTGGCCTTCCTCGGTGCAGCCATCTGCATCATCGCCAGCGTTTATCCCCGAAAACGCGCCGCGCCTCTCAGCGACAACGGCACCCTGGCATCGGAGACGCTGCTGGAGCCTCTGGAGCCGGGATCGGTGGCTCACGCCGGACCGCTCGGCGCCCTGCACGGCTCCGAGTCGTACGATGGAGGGAACGGGCTCGGCGGCATCGGCCTGGAGGTCCCCACTCTGAACGAGCTCAACCTCGGCGAGGAGACCGGGGGAGGCTCGGCGAAACAGTTCAGCTTCAGCCGACTCATCTGCACTCCTGTCCCGGTCGGAGAATGTAAGACCAAAGACCTGAGGCAGCGGCGGCAGCAGCAGCAGCAGCAGCAGCAGCAGGCGGACGAGCCGCTGTACGGAACCGGGGACGAAGACCTCCGGACCACCGCGGAGGAGCTCCGGCAGATGGTCTTGCAGCAGAACGATCAGATCCTCATGGACCAGAGGACCATCCGGGAGCTGACCGGGAAGCTAAGCGAGTGTGAGAGCGGCCTGGAGGACGAGAGGAGCGTCCCGGAGCGGAGCATCGGAGTCTGGAGCGGCAACCGACGCGTCATGGCCGGGGACGATGTGAGCTCCTCCGCCGCGGCGCAGCTGCAGACAGCTCGGGCTGTGGAGGAGCTGGCCCGGGCCATCATGGACCTGAAGGACCGCATTGAGAAACTTGAGGTGAGAGAAATTGAGCACAGGCTACTCAAACTTTGGCAAAACCTGTTGTTCTTGCTGTTTATCCGTCTGTCTGAGATTTGTTTGACAGCAGGAGATTGGGACAGATACCAAAGTTAGCAGCCAGGTGAGTCACTGGTTTCCAGTTTAAATTGGACCCATGTGTGGTCCATCTAACAGCCAGGTGTCCCAGTGCCAGGTTGACATCCACTGTGCAGTTTAAGCCACCTTCAGAACAAGTGAGGGAATAGTCATTTACCAGAATGAAAAGGTTCGGATTAGAAGTGGCCGTGCTGCAGCAGACATAAAGGCAGAGCGAGGTACAGGCCTGAGCTCTGGTTCTCTGCTCCTCATCTTAGGTGCTCTGGTCTTCCTCTAACACCCTCCCTCCCCTTCTTTATTCTTCCCTCCTTTTATCTTCACCTTGCCTCTCCTCTGACAAGTGACTCGTGACACCGGCGCCCCTCATGTTTTGCGTACACTCCCCATGGGAAATCTTTCCACCTGCTGGCCCTCGCGCACCCCTGCTTCTCCCCCCCCATCATGTCAGCCGCCTCTCCCCTCTACCTCCGCATCCAGCAGCAGGATAGAGACATAAATAAAAGATGAAGCTAGCTGGACAGGAAAGAGGGTGGTGGAGGAGGAGGGGGTCAGCTTGTGTGTGTGTGTGTGTGCTGAGATTGAGACACAGGCAGGCTTAAAACCACACACACTCACACACACACACACACACACCCACACACGCAAACACTGCTGCATCACTGCCAGCCCTCTCCAAGCACAGTCAGATACAAGGTTGTCTCCGTCAGTGTGAATTTATATCCTGGACGTCCAGATCCAGTCCTGCCTCAGCAACTCTCTTGATATTATATATCGCCCTCGCAGCCATCTCTTCCACACTAACAGCTCTCTCTCTTTACTGCTGCTTCACTAACACCTTCTTTCTTTTTTTTTTTTTCCAACTTATGCTCCGCATACTAATACTGCCACTGTGAGGCTACTAATATCACAACACAACAGGTCTCGTCGTGGTGCTGCTTTGTCATTTCACTCCTCCTCCTGCAGCTCTGTTCCAGTTTAAAACCAGCACTACTACTGAAATGGATAGTGGCCATATTTATGCTACAATAAAGATGGGAATGGGCTCCACTTATTGCCTTTGTGTTCTGTGTCCTCTTTGGTGCTACCAGCCCAAAACAAAGCTTCTTTAAAAATCCATTTAATAAGTAAGGAGACTTCTGATATTGTCTTACGTGTTTGATCTTCCTGACTGGCCTTTCTTCAGCATGTGTGCACCAGAAAGCTGCTTTCAGCTATTATATCGACCCCTCGCCTTTGATTTATTAGCACTGGTGAAGGCTCTGTACTCCCAAGAAGAGGTAACATAAACAATCCTAAAGAAAAAATCTATGCAATCAATATGATTATTGGTCATAGACACCTAGACAACTAAGTCAGAGGAAGACAAAGCCCAGGATGCTGTTGTTGTTATTAATTTAATCTTAAAATAAATGGAAGGCCCAGAAGCTAAGTATTAAATTTCTACGTTTCCGATCTTTCACCGTGGTGTGTGACAAAGTGAGATTAAAAGCTTACAATGACATAAAATAAAACACGTCGTAAACTCAATTCAGAAAATCCAAATCCAGCATATTGCAAAAAGCTCAGGATAAATCAATGCAGGCAAGAAATCACAATAATGTAATACAGGAAAGGAGGGTTAAACATTTTGGCCGTGTGGTACAAGTTAGCGTTTTGTTGTGAGTGTGGCGATCTTCTCAAACTTTCTCCTCATTTACTTGAATTAAACTCCTACTGCTCTGCGCTGTTGCTTCAAAACCACAGCAGCTGGCAATCCAAATAAAAAGTACCACATAATAATAATGCTTACAAAAACCAGCCTCCTCCACAACGACCGAGTTTAATAACTGTATTCCCTTTACTAGAGCGTCTACAAACAGCAAACCTCCAAATCTCAGTGGCTGCCGCTGTAGCTCCTCCTGTAAAGTTGATTCCAGCTCCAGTGGCCAGACTTCAGTGAAATCACAGCCTGAGACAGGATGTTGTGAAACTGTTGTGAAATGTTAACGGCACATCAGATAATTAGAGACATTAACTCTGAAACAAGAAAACAAAACACATCCATTTGTGATTCGTTAAGTCGGATTTTCAGTAAAAAACATGAATTCATTGGTTTATTTGCAGAGTAAGAAATTAATAGAAGCTGTAGTCACACAAATGCGACACTTGGATAGTAATGGTGATAGAATGGTTAAAAAAAAAAATCAGTATAAATTAGTAAAATAATAAACCCAAGAAGAATAAATTAAAAAGGTTCAAATCAAATAAAACTAGAGCAGCTAGAGGTGAGATAAGATAAAACTACTGAGATATTAAGAAAATAAAATTCTAGTGGACAAAGGAGGCGATTCATCCTCTGGGGACCACACACCTCTGTAAAAAAAAATAAAATAAAATAAAATAAAAAAAAGTGTAATTCGCAGTTGAAAACAAAGAAAAGTGAACACATGACCATGATTTGTTACCAGGGTTTTGAATTTTAACGCCACCAGAACAGACAGTGTTTTTGTCTTTGCTGCTACATCTGCTGTCAAAGAATTCGCTGCCTTCCTGTGACATGTTCTCCCTTTGCAACCAAAGTGGTCTCAACGCTAACACAGAATTCATTTTTCTCGTTCTGCAGGCAGAGATCGGTCCCGCCGCCTTGAACCTCACTGACACGTCCGTGGGTGGAACCAGCAGCAGCGGCAGCAGCAGCACCAGCAGCAGCAGCAGCAACAGCGGTGGTGTCGGCAGCAGCAGCAGCAGCCCTACTGTTAACACCGGCAAAGCTCCAGCCCCACCCACCGGCAGTGCTTCCTCCCCACCAGCAGGAGCTGCCCCGGGGAGCCGCCGTCCCGCTTCCCCAGCCTCCCCTGCCCCCAGGCCTCCCGCTAAGGGTGCCCCTGGGCGTGGAAAGGGCACCTGGAGGGTGGAGGACCTGGAGGGCGAGCTGGAAAGAAAAATAAAGATGCTGGAAAAAGAGCGGCTAGCCATGAGGAAGGAGACACACGGCCAGCACGAGAAGATCAACCAGGGCATCGACACTGTCAACCACCGCGTCACTGAGCTGGAACACAGTGAGTCTGGGGGAGAAAGAGGAGGAGGAGGAGGGTAACTACATGGGGGGGCGGCTAGACAAATAAAAGAAAGGGATGCTTGGGTAAACCGAGGCCCAAGGGAAGTGAAACAATTGCATCACCAAGCTGACGTACATGAGAGCGTTGCAAGAGAAGCCTGAAATGAAAGTTTAACAAGCACTGTGGGTGGAACTAGGTCATCGCAGCAGTGGAGAATACGCCGTAGATGAAAATAGCATGATTAATGAGCGCTGAAGATTTTGAAATGTCAGATAGGGACAGGAGCTGAAAATAAAAACGATGCAGCTAAAAATAAACGAAAACCGAAATATCTGAAGTCGTTTTTAAACTTTGATTCATCGTGCTCGTAAGAATTTATATGAATAATGATTATTTCTTGATGGTTGGCGGTTTGGAAATGTCACATTGGTGTTGAAGGGGTTTTGATGGTAGCTCTTCCCAAAGATTTCTCCCACGGAGGATCAAGGTAACTGTAGGCGAAAAGTTACAGGAAAAAGAAGTAAGAGATGCTTGATAATAAGGGAGTGAGGTGCCAGGAGGAAGGTTAATAGGGAAAGAAATAGGACTTCTTTATTCTCTTTTTAGCGCTGTCATTCTCCCAACCTTCCCGACCGTCTCTAAATCTTCTCTGCTTTAAGAGCTGCAGTGTGGCCTCCAGTTAGAGAGGCTGATCATTAACTGTAACGCTTGAGCTCTTGCCAGGCCTGTATGTGTGTGTGTGTGTGTGTGTGTGTGTGTGTGTGTGTGTGTGTGCGCACAGACTGGCAGGGACAAGAGAAAAGAGAAACACCAGTGTCCTTGTATAAATTGGCCATTAACGCATCATCCCTCCCCATTTTCTCTCTCCGTCTGCCTTAAAACTCCCCCTCGCTGTCTGACTCTTTGTCTCCTTTATCTGTGTCTCCACAGCGCTGACAGAACCGTCGTTCCCCGATGGCTTCGTCCTCTCCTTCCCCATGCGCACCAACTACATGTACGGCCTGGTCAGGAAAGAGATAACCGAGATGTACGCCTTCACTGCCTGCGTATGGCTCAAGGCCAAAGAAGGAGGCATCGGGACCCCCTTCTCCTACTCCGTGCCGGGTCAGCCCAACGAGCTGGTGCTGCTACAGGGAGTCCACAACCCCGTGGAGCTGCTCATCAACGACAAGGTAAGTAACGTTTCTCTCGTAGCTGCTCACCTACCTGGGGGTTGGGGCTATAAATTACTTTCTATGAGATCAATTTGGAGAGGCTGCACAAAGTTAAGTGCAATAAAAAACACTTTATGTGGAAATTAATGATTCCCTCAGGCGACGAGCATGAATATTTTGCACCCTTTAGGTTTCCTTCTAATTACTCAGGCAAAATAGACTGCCAAAACAGCTTATTACGACGTACACTACAGGCTGGTGGGTGGCTTGCTGTGATCCATTGATTAAAATGAGCAGTGTTTTGCAGCCGGCTAACTTTTTATTCCATTTTGCATGAGCGGTGAAAAACCCTGAAAAGAAATCTGAAGCAAATTTCAGTTAGAGAGCCTGGAGCCGGAGGTGTGTCCATCCAGTCTTTACCAAACATTTGATAATGATAAAAAATAAGAAAAAATAACAACATTTATTACCTGTGCCACCAAAATAATTACAACCAAAGCAGATGGTGCCCCTGAATAATACATTAATAGTTTAAAGCCTTAAAAAACAAAAGAAAGAAACCAAGAACTTACATTTAAAAACACAAAGTTCTTCCTTTGGGGCAGTGATTGAAATGCAGAAAAAATAAACGGCAGCATCACTTTGCACGTTATCTTTTGAGTTCTCTTGAATAAAAATCTAACTGAGTGCATGACAAACCCTTTGTTTATTTTCTCACATTTGTGGACCCACAGCAAATGTAAGTTATTGAGCAGAAGTGGCACAGAGGCAGGCTTTTCACAGCTGTTGTTTTTATGTAGTGCAACGGTGTTTACCTTTTATAGTGCATATTGTTCCTGAGGCAGAGAGGAGTGAAGGTTTGCAGTGGTGGAAGGAAGGTTGGGATTGTCTACAGGGTGTAGTTTTTGCTGACATAAACCATCAGTGCACCCTCTGTCCACATTACTACCCACACTTGTCCGATAACCAATCATAATGCAAGGATGATGTGTCATCGGTTACTGGACTTGAAAACACTCGCTCACTTTGTCAGGGCAGGTGTAACCTCGGCCGTTGTGCTCTCTGGCTTCCAGGTGGCACAGCTGCCTCTGTCCCTACCGCAGGACGAGTGGCAGCACATCTGTGTCAGCTGGACCCTGAGGGACGGGGTGTGGAAGGCCTACCAGGGGGGCAAGATGAAGGGGAGAGGAGAGGGACTGGCTGCCTGGCATCCCATCAAACCTGGGGGAGTGCTGATACTGGGGCAGGAGCAGGTGAGTCACATGGATGGATGGATGG